ATTGTTTATTCACATCAAAACACGCGTTTCGTGTCGTAGTAATATGGCCAAAAAAAAACCAGCTGTTATTCGGCCATCTTTGATCTGATTATGAAACACACTGATATGTATGATGTATGTGCCAAATACGAATGAAAATGGTACATAAATTGTGGAAATATAGTAGTAAGGCCAAAAAGTCAGATGGCTGTCAATCGGCCATCCTTTGAAAACCAGATTTTGAAACAAATTGTCATGGACATGCATCCTAACATGTACATGTATAAACTGACAGAGCATGTCCAAGATACGGCATAAAAAAACAAAAACAAGATGCCTGCCAGTCGACCATCTTTGATCCAATTGCAAAATAAATCGTCATGGACATGTATCATAACATGTTTAATCTATGTACCAAGTTTGAATGAAAACTGACAAAGCATGTCCAAAATTTTCAAAAAACAAGATGGCTGCCAGTCGGCCATTTTGAATCGAATCGCTAAACCACTGCATGTGCATATGTCCCACATAAAGTACTAGGCACATGCAAAGAATGAACAGAATCGGTCCAAGGGATTCTGAGATATGACTCCGGACGAACACACAGACGCACGGACGGACGGAGACCGAATTATAAGTCCCCGTTTTCGGACTTCGTCCGAACGGGGACTAATGAATTGACAAGCAACTAATAAGCAAATCAAATTAGAGAATACAGTATGTGCATTATCCTAGAATATATATGTAACAAGTTTCATCAAAATCAAAAATGTTTGGTTCTTGAGATAATAGTAAAACAGACATACAGACTGCAAAGACTTCCATTGTATGCTAAAATTCGCACACAGGAATAAAAAATAGGACTGTAAAAATTGTTTGGTTTATATGACAGATATTATTTTATTTTTATTTTTTTACAACAAATATGGTGTTTCCAGGAGCAAAATACTCCTAGGTAGGCAGAGATTTTTATAATATTTTAGTTTTTTTAGTTTATTTTTTCTAATTAATTAATTAATACTTACACACATGGATGAAAATCTTGTATAAGGATAATAGCAACACCATTTGACAGCTTATCTGTAAAACTCATTGCACCGTAGACAAATGCACCACTTTCCTAGAAATACATTAAACTGGTGTTACTAGTCAATCTGGCAATCTGGTAGAAGAATGTTTGGACATTGATGAGTCTGTCATTGAATAACTAAAAA